TAGGTACACCTTAGATCATTAGGCATTAGATCCCAGAGTTTGGGGGCCTCTGGTTTGGACAGTGTCAGTATTTTTTACTGTATTGAGACATGATTACATAGTGGTCACATTTCTGTTGCTATCCATCATGATCATGGAGTGGCCTTGTCTGATGTTGGCACTGTGAGCAGTTCATCATATTTAACACGAGAACATGACAGACGAGCTGCAGGCACTGCTACAGTCTCCAGCATCTCCAAGCCCTAATGGTAGTGCCAAGCTAGCTCCTGGGTCTCAGTGGCTGCTCTCTTCTTTCTCAAATGAACATAAACAAAGGCAAAAAAGATACTAGCTATGTTTTAATAAGTTCACTTTGGCAGAAGTGATGTGAAAACCTCTAAAGGAATACAACACTAGTGGCTGTGAAGGCAGCTAGGGATTGTCATCTTAAACCCAAGTGAGCTATGACGCCAGCTTTAATCAGGGTTCTGGTGATGGGAATAGAGAGGATTGAACAGTTTTAAGAATTGTTAAGGGAATGAGATTAATTGAACTTGTCAAAGGGTAGACTTGCGAATGGTAGGAAAAAAAAATCTAGATGACCCAGTTAACTTTCGGGTATCTGGGTGATGCTGCTGGAAAAGGAACAGTAAAAAGAAAGAATAAAACAGGACTGGGGAGATTGAAGTTTAAGTTTTCAGGCAGTATTAAATGTGTCTATTAGGCAATGAGATATACTGGACTGGGCTTTAGGGAAAAGATATAAGCTAAAGACCCACATTTGGGGATTGTGAGAAAATAGATGCTATTTGAATGGGAAGTAATGAGGATAATCTAGAGTGAAAAACAAGGGAAGAACTGTGGACCATTTCAGTATTAAAGGAAAAACAAAATGAAACAAATGGGCAAAAACATAAAAAAAGTAAATAGTAGTGAATAGTATCCCAAAATCCAAAGGAGGAAATACTTTCATGAAGGACTAAGAGGTTAATGGAGTCTAGTCCCGCAGAGAAGTGAAGGGAAAAAAAAAAAGACACGTATATGTTTATAGGAGAGGAAGATTTTCTCAAAGATGGAAAAGCAGCCTGTTTAAAGGCTGATTCTTTATCATCAGAAAATAGGGAGAGATTGAAAAAATGAAGGTGGGGTTAAATGAAAACAGAATCCTGAGGACACAGACAGTAGAGATATTGAACAACACCCCTGCCCTGGGACTAGCCCTAAGGCATCAAAGCAGTCTCTTCCACTGAAGCAGAGGAAAGAAAGAGACCATGAACACAAATACATGAAATATAAGAGATACTATCTGAACTAAAATAAGAGGAGAATTCACCTACTGTAAATGGTGGGGGAAAATTTAAGAGACCCATTAAAATTTGAAGTAATTATGGAAAAAAGTTGAGAAATGTACTAGGAAAGTATGGAAAGCCTAGGAAGAAGTACTGATGAGCCTCTTAAAGTATGGCAGCTGAGAAATGGAATCATGAAGTGTCTAAGGTATTGTTAATTCAAGTGGGTAGGTGAATTGAGGAGATGAGAGAATTGGAAGCTTTTGGAGACAGCAAGATGGCCCAAATGAACTGAGATTTTTAAGGGATTAAGGCACAATTTGGGTGGAGGAGACTGAAGACTTTGGCATCAGGTTCACAATGAGAAAACAATAGAATGAACTGGTGAATGACAGATGGCCACTTGACATGATACACAAGGGAAGAGAGAGTTTTACATAAGAGTGATATCTTTGGAATTGACCCTGAGAACTGAGTAGACTAGCAATTGCAAAGGAGTGGGGGAGTGAGTCATTAGTCTTGGTGGTGATCCAAGGGTGAAAGTCTTTTCTGTGTACGAATGGAATGGGTCTACAGGACAGAAAGTTTGTCTTAGATGAAGGGTTTCTGAGCGTAAAGTGAATGAGTGTGAGAAACCACACAGAAGAGGAAGTGAGGCAGAGGAAAGAGTACAGAAGGGCACAGTGATGAGGATATAAGAAAGGACAGGTGAAGAGAGGTTCCTATATTCTTAGTGGCAAACACAAATAACCGAGATCATGGAAACAAATTAATTGGCTTGAAGATTTCCAACAGAACTTGGGGAAAAGCTGATTTGGTAAGGGTGTAAGCAAGTCTAGGTTCCAGGAAGAGCCCAAGGCCTGTTGACCTGGACAGCTAGGAAGAAGGCTTTTCAGGAGAACATTGGAGAGGTATAAAATCACCTTATGGTCAGAAGAGGTTTGTTTTGGGCTTCTCTGGTGGCTCAGTGGTAGAGAATCCTCCTGCCAATGCAGGAGACATGGGTTCGATCCCTGGTCTGGGAAGATCCCACATGGGGTGGAGCAATTAAGCCCATGCACCACAACTACTGAGTCCACACTGCAGAGCCAGGGGACCACAGCTACTGAAGCCCCACATGCCCAGAGCCCATGCTATGCAGCCGGAGAAGCCACCACCACGAGAAGCCCGCGGAGGGCAACCAGAGAGGAGTCCCCACTCGCCACAACTAGAAAAAAGTCTGCACAGCAATGAAGACGCGGCACAGCCAAAAATAAATAAATAAAATAAAATAAGAAAAGAGAGAGGTTGTTCTGCTGTAATTCCTAACTTACATTACCATGTGCTCAGTTCAAGATGTTGAGTAGCTCTATACCTGTAAAATCAGCTGGAAAGTCTGAACTGTGGCAACATTAACAGAATGAGTGAAGGAACATCTAGGAGTCTAGCAAAGTCTCAGAGGGTGCACTGATCTTAAACTTTTATGGACACCTGTGGATCTTTTCTAAATGCAAATTGATTTATCAAGCCCGAAAACAGTCCTACAGTTCTAAGCTCACAGGTGATGCCTATACTGTTGTTCAGGGTCCACACTGTCAGTAGAAAAGTCCCCAGAACTCAACTCTTAAATAAATGTATTATGTTCATTATATGGATAAAACACATGGTTAATAGAGAAGGAACATTTCTGTCAGATTTTAAAATATATAAAATTGTAGGGGTGATGTCCTAGGATATTCTAACTGGGTGAAAGTGCCTGATTGCTTCAGTCATTTATTACTACAAGTGAAAGATGAAAAAAGAGGGAGTGATATTTAGCCATTTTTAATGGATGCCTAAAAATGAATTAATACCACTCAAGCTCATGAGACAGGCCTCCCATGTGTTCAAAATAACCTACATAAATGGACAGGTGAAGAAGCAAGAAAATTAATGTATGCATAAACTGCATATCCATCATCATTGCTATGTATTTCTCTCAAGGATTTTTTTAATACGTATACATTATATTTAGCCTGAAGGAAATGTCTAGGTAAATCATTCCATGTCCTATTTTAGTAGGCAATTAAGTATGATGTTGTTATTTCAGAATATGAGAGGAGAAGTTGATAAAGGTGACTCACCAGGCATCAGAAAACCACTCATACAATATTGTATATATATATTTTAGCACTTTCAGTCTCTCATTGCTGACACTATTGATTAAATGTAAATTGCTTCTAGGCAACTGTATGATAACAGGAAACTTTTGAATTTACTGTCTTAAAATGCTAGAGCTCAATCTTCCTGCTTGATCAAAGTTATTTTAAGATACAGAAATAGGATGGTATATAGATAAGTAGATTGCTCAGATAGATAAAAATTTTAATTAGCTAATAACATGTCTATCCAAGGTGATTCATACTTTCAGTGGATCAATATGTCACATGAACTCCAAAACATAGAGTGCATCTTCTCTAAGTAATTTTCTACTTGTAGAATTTCCTTCAAAAAACTACAACAAAGAATATACCTTCAAATAAGTATATTCAAATAAGACATTTTTCTATTTTCTACTACACACATTATCCTTCATTTTAATTTTAAAACTAAATTATTAACAATATAATCATAACTCCCTTTTCTTGAAACTGTTTACAAATAGTCCATTATTAAACTGATAACAGAATATATCAAAGCCAACAATAAATTTAAAATAACATTCCCATTTATAAAGTCAGCTCTCAGAAACATTAATGAAATTATTTCTCCCTCTAAAGTAGCCTTAAAAATAAAGGATTATTTTCTCCTAAAAGACATTTTTTTTGTTCTCCAAAAGTTCCAACCCCACAGCAAATATTACCTTGGATCTATGTTAGTGTTGTATTTGTAAAAATCTGACAGGTTTTATAATTCATGAAATCAAATGATTGAAAGATAAAGCAGAGTTAATCCACATACAAGATCCTCCTATAACTAAAATTATTTAACATTCAGGATACCTGTTTCTTTAGCCTTCCCACTGAAAATATTTACGCTTCCTGTTAGAAATTCCCTCACAAACTATTGCAAATTACCTACCAAAATGGATGTTCACATGTCAAAGTCGAAATATCAAAGCCTTGATAATGTCCCTGAAGATGAATACAGCTCTTATTAAATTAATAAAAACTGCATTGTAAAGGACAAAACTATAATGTCTCAGTAGGGAATAAAAATAGCAAATGATCTCTTATAAATAAATATTGAAAAAGGTTGGGTATCTTTTAGTTATGGTAATATAATAATAAATATCTGGAAAAAATACAAGTATGTTATGATTTACAATAATTATTAATGACTACAAAGTATAATGTCTTGATGATAGTGAGAGCACAAAGAGAGTCTATAGTATTTCTAAGGATCAGGTCTTTTCTTTTCCATTCTATTCTGCAAGCCTACTAAAATCCCAGCCTTCAGATGAAAGAACAATGTATGAAGGGAAATCAATATGACTTTATGCTACAAAATTGCTAATTTACAGCTAAATAATATAAAAGTTAAAGAAGGTTTATGAAAAGTATTCCTGGGCAGTCACAGCAGAATCAGGAAAGACTTCTCCAGGCTAAACTTTGATTCTATTTGATATGCAAAACATATTTTAAAGATATATTTAAAAGCATTATAGCATACCATGTTAATCTTTTCAACTCTAAGAGAATCACAGAGTTCAGAGCACAGGGTTTACAAGCAGCAAAAGTTAGAAAAATATATAAAAATTAACGCATAACCTACATTGACTTTTTCTTTAAGATCTGAGAAGTTGCCTTCCTTCCGATAGACTGCAAATTCAGGACTCTGCAACACGGCCTCTGAACGAGTAATCCAACTGTGAAGTTCAGTTATATCGACATCCAACCTAAGACAGGGAAGAATAAGGATCATTATTTCTTGATTATCTCTTTCTTCTGTATGGAAAAAAAAAGGCAATCTATCCACATTTACCATTCTTCTCCCAAACTGAAACTTCTGCCTGATGCCCCTATTAATGTTAATATCACTACTATTTCCCTAGTCAGGTTGGCTCAAAATTTGGAGTCTTCTTTGACCTGGTCTTATGATCACAGAGGTAATCTTATTCATCTCAATGTAGCAACGACCTGTACACTATCTCCTATAAGCTACTCTTCAGCCTTTGCTTGAATGTCTGTACTGATTGAAAAAATCAGTATTTTCCAAGATAAATCATTTTTTGGGAATGTATTCACAACAAACAAACAAAGATTCCTGTTGGTAGCCCCCATTAAACCGTACCTGGAATACTCACGTCCTTCATGTCGTCTCCACAGCCATACTGAGGCTGCATTTGGTCACGTGACTGTCTATGGCAAATGAGCTATTGGTATGTGTAATGCAAGCACAGGTTTGGTTAGTGCTTGAACCTTGGATCTTGTCTTCATGGAACACACACTCTCAGAAGGCATGTGTTATATAAGAATTTCAAGGATCCTAAAGGCTCCAAAATCACTACAGATGGTGACTGCAGCCATGAAATTAAAAGACACTTACTCCTCGGAAGGAAAGTTATGACCAACCTAGATAGCATATTGAAAAGCAGAGACATTACTTTACCAACAGAGGTCCATCTGGTCAAGGCTATGGTTTTTCCAGTGGTCATGTATGGATGTGAGAGTTAGACTGTGAAGAAAGCTAAGCACCGAAGAATTGATGCTTTTGAACTGTGGTGTTGGAGAAGATTCTTGAGAGTCCCTTGGACTGCAAGGAGATTCAACCAGTCCATCCTAAAGGAGATCAGTCCTGAGTGTTCATTGGAAGGACTGATGCTGAAGCTAAAACTCCAATACTTTGGCCACCACATGCGAAGAGTTGACTCACTGGAAAAGACCCTGATGCTGGGAGGGATTGGGGGCAGGAGGAGAAGGGGACGACAGAGGATGAGATGGCTGGATGGCATCTCCGACTGATGGACATGAGTTTGAGTAAGTTCCTGGAGTTGGTGATGGACAGGGAGGCCTGGCATGCTGCAATTCATGGGGTCACAAAGAGTCGGACAAGACTGAGCAACTGAACTGAACTGAAATGAACTGAAAGTGACTGAAGGAAGCTCATTCTTGCCAGGCAGAGAGACCATGGAAAAAGCAAGTGGTATGGAAATGGCAACCAACTCCAGTACTCTTGTCTGAAAAAAGCCCATGGACAGAGGAACCTGGCAAGCTACAGTCCATGAGGTTGTGCAGAGTCGGACGTGACTGAGCAGGAGTGCCAGGAGAGTGAATAAAGCCTCCTTTGACCTTCTGACCCAACTCAAACACCAGCTGAATACATCTAAGTAAGTGCTCCAGCTGACTTCACTTAGAGCTACAGAACTGCCCACGTTGCAGGATTGTGAGATATGATAAATAACTGTTGTTTCAAGCCATTACATTTTGAGGTGGGTTGTTATGCTGCAAGAGATATGTGATCACCTACGCTGTTATCCTCAAACACTTTTTTTCCAGAGATCTATGGAGCTAATGGAAATAAACTATTAACTCTGATTAGGTGATTCAGATCCAGTTAAAGCAGAGATTTTCAGGGAGTCACAGATGAGTTTCAAGGGTGAAGAATGTCTAGGAATCACTTGAAATTTCAGGCACAATTCTGAAGGCATGTGCAATTTTCTTGAGAAAGAATCTATAGATTTTATCACCATCTGTAAAGAATCTATGATAAAGGGAATTTAGAAACCATCTAATTCAATCGATTATAAAACAAAATAGACAAAAGTATCCAGGAAAATAAACTTATTCAATTTTCACATGAAATGTGTGGAGTATACCAAAAATACAAATACAAGATGCCAAGTAATATACTGTATTCACCATGCTATAGTTTTTGTTCTCCAATACAACCCTCAAACAGTTGAAATCAGCTGTTTAAATCTTCTAGAATAGTGGCCCCAACATTTTGGGTGCCAGGGACTGGTTTCATGGAACACAGTTTTTTCTAGGGACTGGGGGTGGGGGTGGAGATGGCTTCTGGATGACTCAAGTGCATTACATATATTGTGTTCTTTCTTTTTTTTTTTTTTCTTTATTTCTATTATTGTTACATCAGCTCCACCTCAGATCATCAGACATTAGGTCAGGCAGGTTGCGGACCCCTGCAATAGAAGATATCTGATGGTCAGCCTACCCTACTTCTAGTTACTTTGATGATATTCCTTGGTTTGTGAGTATATTACTTTCCTTAAAATTCGATTCCTAGCAAAATCATATGAGGGGTGTTCACTATAATCAGGAAAGAATAGGCAAGTATCTTCTCTCTTTATGAATACTTTCATAGATGTAGCCTTTAAATCAAATAAACCTGTGAAGAATTTTTTATGTTGGTTGCAGTCTATTGTTTTAAAATTAAACTGATAAAAAGTTTCACAGAACACAAAATATTTCCTAAAGCATGGCCTCCTTTGCTTTCTTACAAGCCTGTGCTAAATAAAGTATGATCCATCTCTTTGCTGTATGAGGAGATGGAGGCTCAGATAAATTAATTAATTGATCTCAGATTGTTACTACCATAGGGAAGAAACTTAATTCATCTTGTTCACCATTATATCCTTCACCTCAAAGAGGGCCTGATTCATAGTAATAAGTATTTACTGAGTTTCTTATTTACCAAGTCTACCCAACTAGAAATAGAAAAAAAAAAAGAGATCAGAATTCAGAGATTTTTTTATTCTAAATCTCACATCACTGAATGTCAATCCTTTATTTCATTTGGATATGAATCATACATAGTACTGGTGTTTCATTTTATCATACATGGTGGCTATCTTTCCTATATTTGATTTTTGCAGAAGTTTAACTATTAGGTCTCGTATTTCTTCATTTGCAATGTTGATTTAAAAAGAGTCCTTCTGCATGCTGCCAAAAATCTTTCTCATTGATGTTAATTAATTTATAAAAGTAATAGTTTTCAACTATGGCCATTTAGTCACCCCACAAATCCAGCGCATGTTTCCCATGTCTTAAGAAGGACTTTTTTTTTCCCTTTAGCCCAGGATAAACCTTTGTGTGTCTCTGCCTGTGGGCATGCACTTTGCCAGTATATAAGGCAGTCCAGGAGTACTGGGATGTTAATAGCTTAGTTATGTGAGAGCCGGGGATAGTTGGCAGATAAATAATGCAGCTCCCTTGCCCTTCAGTGCAACCACCCTGAAGGATATCACACGCAGTATTTCAGAAGGTTCCCAGCTGGACTGAGCGCAGTTGCCTCCGTCGAGAATCTGCTCAGGTATCATCCTGTGTTGGCTGCCTTTTCCTTATCTCACTTCCTCACTTTGCTTCCTGGGATTACTTCCTAAATTAATTACCTGCATCAAAATCTTTCGTCTCCAGATCTACTCTTGTGGAAAGCCATACTAAGTCAATGATCAACAACCTCAAATGAACCCCGCCCGCATCCTGCCATGTTTAATTTTTTCACCTTGAGCTCTGACTCTCCACAGGAACTATTTTAAACTTTTCCCAAAGCTCTCAAAGCTCTGATCTGTCTTCTTTCTCTACCTATCAACAGATGACATCTATTCCTACTTGATGGAGAAAAGCACAATTATCAGATTACAATTTCTTCCACTTCCACTTCCTATGTCCAAATAGTCAATCTTACCTGCCCGTGCCCTTCTCACTACTTTCCCTTACAATGAGTGAGTTTCTCTTCTTTTACTTAAACATTATTGATGGAAGACATATTAATATGCCTTTGTTACCCAAATGTTATTGACTGGAGATGTGTCAATACATTTTTAGAGAGTGATACAATTAATATCACCTTGTAAAGTTCTTAGAGCTTAAAATTGATCAAGGGTTCATTATACAACTTATGATTGTTGTTATTATTCACATTTTGCCCTGTTAGGTTTTTGTTCCAACTTGTGTATATTACAAATGTAAAATTTTCAAAAATGATGCATCACAAAATTTTAAGTGAAAAATAATTTTTCAGCGAATTTTATGCAGATATTTTCTGATTCTCCAAGTGACATATATACTAGTGTCTCAGAAGATGACAGTTCTTCAGTATACAGTTCTGATTCAGACAATGTGAATATTAGACCAACAACAAAAATGCTAGTGATTGATTCTGATACAGAAAGTGAAAATGAAACTCACAGTGCTAGAGAACGCTCTGCAGAAAAGTGGATTGAAGACAACATTTTACAAAGATCAAAAGACTTTACAGATGTGTCAGGTGTAACTATTGAATGTAATAACCTACAAAGTATTAGTGAAATAACAGAATTAGTTTTTGGCCAGCCAAAATAAAAATCACCAGCCACAGGCATTACTTTCTGCAAAAATCTCCCAGTCAATAATGAGTTAAAGCCAATCCCTTTGCCTGCATTTGGTACTTCATCCTCTTACTTCTTCTCAGGTATCTGAGTGTATCAGTTGTTTTTTTTTTTTTTTAATCTATCCACTGTAAATTCATACCCTCTCTCTCAAGTTGATTCTTCATATGGAAATTTAAACATATTTTATTTGATCTCTTTATTAAAAATCAACACTCTCTTGACCTCCAAATTCCTCTCTTGCCATTTTCTTATCTTCTACAAAGGCAAATGTTTTGCAAGAGTTGTCCAGTTTCCTGTCAGTTCAGAGGAGCCTGGCGAGCTATAGTCATGGGGTCGCAAAAGAGTTGGACATGACTGAGCAACTAAACAAGAGCAATAAGATATATCTATGAATCTGATACAGATATCTCTACTTCAAGCATTTCTTCTGAGCTCCATAGCTACATAATCATCCTCTAACTCGATGACTCCACTTGCATGCCGTAAGAACTCTTTCAAATATATAATGTCAAGACTTAATGTTTGAATTTCTCTCCCAAACTGGTACCTTCTCAGTGTCCCTCAGA